ACTTACGACGATCTGTAATGAACGTTCGAGTTAAAAGAGGCGCATAGCTATCAGTCGATCATCACATTGTTGTTGACATCTCTTCTGCAATCGATGAAGTACCGAGCGAAGATCTGGCGGTAGAAGCAACGTGACTGTCAAATAAGAAAAGCGTCTCTGTATTTGTTTCACAGATCGTGAATATGTGACTTATGTCAATGGTCACGTGGCACTTCTTTTCCTGCATACTTTTGGCGGGCCACCCGTATCAGTCTTTTAAGAAAGCCATAGCTCTGTAGTATGAGGACACCTTCAAGTAACACTGCATGCTACATCCGGAGTATCGTCAATAGTTTCGTTGCGTTACAAAGCATATTGCTGTTCTGTTTTGTTTCTCTCTTACGTCGACTGAGCAATTAACAGGGTTTTGGCGCTAAATAATACTGCCTTTTTTACAGCGTACCATGCTGTACCTCCTGAAATCTGTCGCTGTCCTTTCTGTATCGACAGGTGAATTTCGTGATAATGTAATTCCTCATCAGCTGCTGTCGTAGTGAATATTCGTGAAACATTTTTCTAATAATGTAGCGAATGTAGAGGCTGTAATGATTATTCGTGCATTATAGTCAAATCTGATTAGAAACGTGTAAGAGCAAACTGGGAGGAGGGGGACAATTCTCCATTTGTAATTATCCCTGAGAGAAGTGCTGTATATTTGCTCTGCGATGCCTCTGCTGCAGAATCGCAGTATCTGTGTAGCCCAGTCAGGCGTAGAGCCGAAAAATCATAGTTTCCAATCATGGCTGCTCAACTCGTCTTGTGTTTATTTGAGGTTGATGAATGAGTATCAGTGTGCCGAAGAGAGACATGAGTCTGCAGGCCGTAATGACCACTAAGTTATAGATACTTCGTTAAAAAATATGAAGTTCCTGATTTATGGCGTCCACACCAGAAGTCGCAGGAAAATAATGTCAGAAATCATAGAAGTTATGAAAGGCTGTCATCTCATCAGTTGTATATTTTCTGTGTCCTTTCTTTGATGCAATGTACCATTTATCATTTTGCATATTAACTTCTTCAGCATCTAAGACAGCGTTGAGTGCCATTAGTGCGTTTCAGCTGTATAAAATAACTGCGTGCTCAATATTCAATCATTTTAATGCCGTAGTATTTCTAACGACATCTTCCCATCTTCTTTGCGACCACCTGCGGTTAGCATTTCTGTTCCGAATCCGCTTCTCAAGGCGTTCAGTGGCTATCGTCCCACTATCTTGAACAATTTAAATACAACCAGTCAGCATTTGACAACAGATCGTACCACTTTACTCCAAATATTCATCTTAAAAATATTTATTTCCTTCACTTCCAGTTATCAGCTTTGCTGAGTGCTGCCATCTCCAAGAAATGGGAATGGGTTTTTGGAATGTAATTCCTATATATTATCCGCAGCCTGGTGCCGTTGCCATTATCTTTATTCTTCCAGAGCTTGCATAACTTTTTGCTCGCTGCTAGAGCTAACGCATACTGTCTCATTCGTCCGTTTATGGCCATTGTACTTCCAAAATATATGGATGTTCAGGTACTTTGTCAAACTTTGTAATTGAAAAACTGAGAATACAGTACCTCTCTTTCAGCAGTAAGCACAATGATGTTCTAACTTCGAACTTGTTTGCAAACAGTACAATATCATCTTCAAATCGAAGAGAGTTTGCACAAATGCCCACTCTTTCCGCCGCAGTTTAATTCCATCATATTCGCTGAAATGCTCTGTCAAGAAACATCGCTAAGAGCAGTAGGTATTGCACTCCTTCTTGGCTTACTCCAGATTTAGAGCGAAAGAATTTTCCCACTCAGCCGCACTGCACTTTTCGGAAGATCATGTATCTAATTGTGGGAATAATCTTTGGTAGGATTCCACTATTTTTACCAACATTCCACAAAGCATCTTTCCACATTGAGTCAAAGGCTTTGGTTAAGTCAATGAATATGACAGATTTGGATCCCCATAGACTCTTCTTTTCCATTAGCTGTCTCATTGTGAGTTCTGAGAGAAGCTGCAAATTTTACCTTGAAAATTAATTCTGAATTTTTTATCATTCGCTCAGTTTTGCTTTTTAAAATAGAGCAGATTTGGTCATATTTCTACTTGAATTTCTTGGATTTATTTGTTATTTATTTTTGTCGATTCTGTATTAGTGCCTTGAATTGTATCTCAGAGCTCATTGGCTAGACTTTATATAAAGTATATTAGATTCATACACCTTTTTCGATCGTCTTGGAGGACGAACGTGCGACTAATGCTGATTCTGGGCGCCATTACGCTTTTTTCACCAACCCGTCCAAATCTGGTTCACAGCGCGAAGGTATCCGAAGAGCAGCAAGTTTATTCTGACTTACTAAAACAGTAAGTAGTTGCAAAAATTTTTAATTGTTTCATTGAACTGTACTACAGAATGACTGATGTACTGAAGAAAGGGAATCTTTGTTGCAAAGGTAATTACTTGTAAGTGATGACCGGTTGACTGCAGACTGAGTGAGGGAATAATTCCTCTGAGCACAATCTGCCATTCCTTTGCTTATTCACACTTTTTTGTTGGCCTATTGATGAATGGTGTTATGCAGTATAGGCGGCATTGCGGTTTCAGCCGAACAAGCTATTGTCAGAATGTCCATTCATCAGTTATTCAATCTTCTCGATGGTGATTCTAATTTATCATGTTATAATTATTGATCAAGCGTTGTACTAATTTGCGCTTTGACCCACTTGATACCTGCCTTAATTAGCAATCCATAATTTATAAAAACATTATTTCTAATCTGATGGCTTTATTGAATTACTCATTTCAGTACATTGACAAAGATAACGAATTTTGCTGCACTGTTAGTATTTGAAGATGCCTCATGCGTAGGATTATTGCATGACGTTTTCTCATTATGGTTTAATAGATTTAACGTCATGTGTATTACCTATTTGGATATGTAGGACTTGCTGATCCACTGGCCTGGAAACGGCAGGATTGATCAGAGGAAGTTGGAAACAGCAAAGTGAACGCGACAGTAATAATTTAAGGTCTGTAGTTGGAGTGAACTGATACAACCTGGTATCGTATATTGTTGTAAGGGAGAGCGACTAAGATATCCAGTTAATGTTACCATTTCTTTACAAACAATGCATTTAAGACGGTGGCACCATTGTCATCGAATGGAAGCTAGCTGCCTTCTGAAGCGAATAATGAATGCAAAGGCTGATGGCATTTAGGCGCCACGAAAATCTCCAACCAGATGCGAAGATTTCGTTACGACTGAAAGGACTAAAAAACGAGCACGTGTTCGTTCGACCTAGATTGGATGCTTACATGCACCCGGCATCATCTTCGATGCAACGTGATGGGAAGAACAAATACTACCTATTTTTTTATTATCTACTATATTTCACATTT